GGATAGACTGGGCCACACAGTCCAAAAACAAACAAACAACAACAAAAAGCATTAGCTTAGCTGTACATGCCGAAGTCTGTATGAAGACCTCTGAATTGAACAGAAAGGGCGTCCCCTTACCCGCTCCTCTTCTCTCCCTCTCTTGTGTTTCCTGTGGACAGGCTCTGCTTTTCTCCTTCCCGTCTCTGCTTCCTGAATGCTGTGATTATAGGACGCACCACCACATCTGGTTGCCTACTTTTTGTAAATGTAACTAAACAGAGTTGAAGAATTGTCTAGGGTGATGCCTCAAGTGGAAAAGGAGTTGGCTATCAAGCCTGATGACCTGAGATCCATCTCTGAAACCCATAAGATGGAGGAAGAGAACTGACTCCCAGAAACTGTTCTCTGACCATACATGCCCTGTGGCATGGGTGTATTCCCTTCCCTAAGACAAATAAATGCAAAAGAATATTTTTTAATAGCTAAGTGGGATCCCATGCCCTCTCTGGAGTGTCTGAAGACAGCTGCTGTGTACTCACATACGTAAGATAAATGAATAATTAAAAAAATAAGATAAAATAGGGGTTTCAGGACAGAACATTTTTATTTTGTCCCACTAGTTGTTCAGAACACCTCCTAACTCACTGAGAAGTTGATCCAATTCTCTCACATTGACTGGGTGACCCCACCCCCACACGCCACGCAAAGCTTTGCGGTAACTCTGCTGAATGTTCAGGGTCTCAGCAGCAAACGATTAACATTTCTGTAGGTTAACTCTATACTAAGATCCATGCATTACCTCCTTAAACCCAGGCCACAAATTCTATGAGAGTACAATGCTCCCTGCAGATAAGAGATAAAGGCCATGGCTTAAGTTCTATACATAGTGCATCCCTTGGGATGAAGCACTGGAGCTAAGATCTCAGCCTAACTCTAAACCTAAAGCCTGGGTTTTTCTACCTTCCTATACTGACTCCTGTTTTACACTAAAATTGGGAGAGAAAAGTGAAATATAAAAAGGATAACCTGGTTAAATTACACATAACTCCTTGTAAAGCTGTATCCTGAACCAGCAGACAAGCTACCCCTACAGTTTCACTAAATTATAAATATTTTCTTTTTTTTTTTTTTTTTTTTTGGTTTTTCGAGACAGGGTCTCTCTGTGTAGTCCTGGCTGTCCTGGAACTCACTCTGTAGACCAGGCTGGCCTCGAACTCAGAAATCCACCTGCCTCTGCCTCCCAAGTGCTGGGATTAAAGGCGTGCGCCACCACTGCCCGGCATATAAATATTTTCATAAAAAGGATTTTTTAAAAAAAAAATCGTTTAGGGGTGGAGAGATGGCTCAGTGGTTAAGAGCACTGACTGCTCTTCCAGAGGTCCTGAGTTCAATTCCCAGCAACCACATGGTAGCTCACAACTATCTGTAATGAGATCTGATGCCCTCATCTGGTGTGTTTGAAGACAGCCACAGTGTACTCACATACATAAAAATAAATAATAAATAGATAAACCTTTAAAAAAATTGTTCAAGTGTTTTGGGTTAGGGGTTTATGACAGAACAGCCCAGGTTAGCTTCAAACTTATACTCCTTCTGCCTCAGAGTCCCAAGTGCCAGACATGCACTGCAGACATGCACCACCAAGCCAGGAACGAGGATTTTATTAGCCATTTTGCAACATTATTTTGGCAAATAGTTACTGATCAATATCAAATGGTTTGGGATACAGAGAGACAAACAAGACACAGCCCTGACATTGGAGAAAAATAAGCGATAAAGATATAACAAGTCAATACAGTAATTTAGCATGCTGAAAAAAAAAAAGATGCTATGCCATCTGGTATAGTGGAGCACGCCTTTAATCCCAGCACTCAGGAGGCAGAGGCAGGCGGATCTTTAAGTTTTATGCCACCCCAGTCTACATAGTGAGTTCCAGGACAGCCAGAAAGCTACATAGTGAGACCCTGTCTTAGGAGGAAAAAAAAAAAAAAGGAAAGAAAGAAATGGAAGATGTAATAGCAATTAAAGAGAAAAGGACATTCTGAGGAGGGGAATGTTTGAGATGACATCTACATGAGAAGGTGGCAGAATCTGAAGAAGCCTGAGAAGCAGGCAGTACAGGTAGACAGACTCTTGGAGAGACCACAGCACAAAAACATATAACCTAAACCTACTGCAACAGGAGATCGCTGAAAGGTTAAAAAATAGAAGCATGAGCTGGCACAGCAGCCAACATCTTTAATCCAGCATTCTGAAAGCAGAAATAGGTTCATCTCTTTTAATTCAAGGCAAGCCTAGTCTACATAACAAGTTCCAGGAAAGCCAACACTACACAGAGAGATATCCTGTCTCAAAAAAGAAAGTAGAGGCATGGTATCTGTTCATACCATAGAAAGATCACTTCAGAAAATTATGGCTGCCAAGTATGGCAGTGAACAGCTACAAACCCAGCAACAGGGAAGCTGAGAGGCAGATACTTGGGCTGGAGCCCAGTGTGGGCTACATACTAAATACCAAACTAGTCAGGGTAGCCTAGACTGACAGAAGATAATGACTGTTACAGACTTGCCTGGATGCAATCAATGGAGCCTGCCTATGGAATCCATCTTCAAGAAGCATGCTTGCTCGTTAAATGTTTTCCTTTACAATGAATAAAAAGTCTGTTACTATTATTACACACCACAAGATTAAGGATTCATTGAAAACCCCTCTGGTGACTTAAGGTGTAGCTCAATGGTGGTGATTTCACAGAATTACATGTACCACAAAATGACAGAAATAAAACATATCTATCTATCCATCATCCTATATATCTAGTACAGTCACTTAAATTTAACCGAGGTCTAAATGACTAAATAATGGATGTCATAAGAAAAGGGAAAAGCAAGAGTAGCGTCAGGAAAATGGACAGAAAGACTGGGAATACTTGAGCAAACTTAGCAAGTCTGTGAAGGTCTAAAAATTAGGTGACAATACTGGCCCAGTACACCAACCATTTGCAACCTAGCCTTCACCACTCGGGCTTTATTCATGAGGCGGATGTTTATCACCTGTAGATACAAATGTCCCCAAATTATCCTTAGCCATTTTAGAAAGTATGAGTTCCACTCCACTATGAAACTGATAGCAGGTCTTAAAAAGCCAAACGAATTTCACTTCATTTAAATCAGTAGAATCCACTTTTCAGATAAAATACTGCCCTCCTACTTTTAGTACCAAAGGAAATAAACTCAGACACAAACAACAGCAGAGACAGGAAAAATTCTGGTCCTAGCATTTCTCATTATTCCTGACTAGGAATAAAAAAAGTATAATTGTCACTTGTGATCCCACAATGCAGAGATAGGGACCAACTTATTCTTGAAAATATGTAGCCATAGGGTTAAAGCACTAGAGGCCAACAGTAAGGCATGTAAAAAACGCTTCATAATTTGGTAAATTTATTTAAAATGGTGGAAGATGTCCTCACATTAGCATTGCTTACTACACTATGTACCCAACACACCAAACACTGTTCACAAAGTTAATGACAGAGCCCAATCCTAACCATCACTGACATTTCTTAGCCCTAGTTTCCTCATGTGTAACTCAGTAGACTATAAAGTATGTTAGAAGGAATAAGGAAATGGCTGTCATGTGGCAGATACAAAATATGTGAGTCTCTGAAGGTGACAGATACTGCAGATTCTAGTTTAACCTCTTGGCAAGAAGTAAAAAAAAACCTGATAACAGTAAAATAAGGACTAGACAATTCTGTCCTTTCTCTCAACTATCTTTCTCAGCACTGTATTCCAAAGAACCATAAAACAACTGTCCATCAATAACTTGAAATACAAAAGAATTCAAATTTGGGGCCTACAATTCTGAAGTTTTACCCACTTGTTCACTAACAAGTAAACTCAAAAATATTATAGCAGCAAAGACAGAGGTGGAATAAAAAAAAACTGTTAACTGAGTACCACTGGCAAGAGGCTATATAGACAGGGAGTAAACTAAAAGTCAAATAAATATGTATGGAGTTGAGGTTATGACTGCTTGAAATTTACTGTGTAGAACACAGACTTGTGGTGCCGCAATCCTCCTGCCTCAGCCTCTGGAATGACATGAGCCACCACGCCCAGTTTAACGATTCATATTTTTAGAAGACCTCTTTTCTATATTAAAGCAGCGGTGCGGGGAGAACCCCACAGGTTGAAGGCAAAGAAGTATAACTTGGGAGGGAGGGCTTATATGCTAAAACAAATATTTTAAAATCCACATTTTCCATTTTGATTGCCTATGCAAACAAACTTAATTCTGTAAAGTGTACGTCAGGGGATTAAAAAGTGGTCGGCTATATTTTATACTTCGGTACCAATGATGATTACAGTCTACAGTGGTGTCTCGTCAGTATCCTGTAGTCTGTATTTTACTGTTGCGAACACAGGTAAAGGGAAAACAGGTGGTCGCCTCACAGCTCTCTAAAGCTCATATTGCTTCACATTCATCCAGGGAAATCCTCCTTAAAACACATGCCAAGTTTCACCCACAGTTATCAAGAGAAGGCCCCTTTCTAATCACAAGTTTCACGTCGGCGGAAAACACTGAATGGTCCAGCATATTCCAGGGAAGTGGACAGCTTAAACCATAGCTTGAGTAACCAACAGGAAACCCAGAGATCATTAACACGTCAAGGCCTATAAGAAATAAACGGACGCGACAATTTCCGTGAAGGTTCAGGATAATCAACAACACACCTTACAGGGCTCGGAAGGGAAACACGTAAATCTCTCTGGGTCTAGGCCCAACGGCCCAAGGTCACGCTAAATGTGAGGCTGAAAAATTCCAAGCTATGAGCCCCCTGCAGATCAGGGCAACCGTGCCTAGGATGGAGTCTGGGCTAGGGAACACTCGCGTCCGATCTTTAATGTGAACCCCAACTGAATGCAGCAGCTCCGTGGGCAAACCCCAGAGTGTTTTGGGCAGCATTTCCTCCGATTTCCCCAGCCTCCCCCCTTCCTAGTCACCCCCACACTCACATCTCCGGAGCCACTTCATCCAATGGTAGACGATTGTACTGTGGTGTTTCTTGTTTTCTATACACCAAGACGACAAGCCTTGAATGGATTCCATGGTGTTGGTCACCGACTGGAATTTTCGATCCAACGAAGACTCCAGGGCTCCTGCGGACGAGGCCGACGAGGAGGAGGCCTTACTGCTGCCTCCGCCGCCGCCGGCCGCCATCTTCCCGGTTTGCACAAGCGCCGCTGGTCCTCTGGCGGCGGCGGCGGCGGCGGGAGCGGGCAAAACAATCACTGCGAGTGCGTGAAAGCAGCAGGAGGGGAGGGAGGCCAGGGGGTGGGGATGGTGCACGCGCTAGGCTCTTCTGGAGGTAGGCAGGCTAGCTGCTGGGCACGCTGGCGGCTCCCACACGCTGCAAGGAGGGGCTGCGGGCTGCGAAGGTTTGTCAGTATGGTTCGGGGGTGGTGTTTAAACCAGTAGTCTGGAGAGAGCTACGTAGAAAATAGGGCCTGAGTCGCCTTTCAAAACGCCCAGCGCCGAAAACTAATGGTTTTATCCTCTACGGTCCTCAACTCTCAAGGCCCTTCCCTCATCCCGTTGGTGAAACTCCGGTGAGCCAGGGAGGCCAGGTACCGAAAACGTAACACTACCCGGCTGTCCCTTCGGTTGCAGAAAGCTTTTCCTTTAGATTCTCTACCACAGAAAAGGCCCAAAGCGACCTAGTCAGAATTTTTTTTTTTTTTTTTTTTTTTTGCAACGCAATAGCAGCAATGGAGCAGCTAAAGCATTGCGCACGCGCGCGGAAGCCCCGCCCCTCCGCTTCCTACTCAACCTTGAACGCAGGGGGAGGCGTGATGGCGCTGCAATCTGACCAATCAAGGGAGGGGTCGGAGAAGCGCGCGCAAGAGTCCTCGGTCCCGAACCCCGAGGAGGCGCGACGTTTATTTGTGCGCCTGCGCGCTAGATGTGCGCGTAGCGGGTTGGGAGGAAAACCTGGGAAGGTAGAATTAAGGAGCTCGGGAACCTAGGACGTTAATAGCCCGCGTTCAGTGCTCCGCCCTGCTTTTGGCTTCATGGCGGGCTAGCTCACTAGGAGCCTTTAGCTCACACTAGGCTGGGAAATGCTCACCGTTCTGTGGCCACTGTTTCTGACAGCTACAGCTGCATTCCCTACCACCCCTCAATCGGGGACCTACGCGCGACAAAATGGCTGGCACCCATCTTGCGGCGTGGTAGAAGATGGGCTTGCTTCAGATCCAGTTAGCCGTTCTCTACGCACTCCTAGACTAACCGGTGTTACACACCCGACTTCGATGACACGATTCACAGACAGCCGGCCGTCTGAATTCTAGAAAGAGGGGTTAAGAAAATTAAATGAGCCGGACAGTGGTGGTGCACGCCTTTAGTCCCAGCACTTGGGAGGCAGAGGCAGGTAGATTTCTGAGTGGGAGGCCAGCCTGGTCTACAGAGTGAGTTCCAGGACAGCCAGGGCTACACAGAGAAACCCTGTCTCAAAAAACCAAAGAAAGAAAGAAAGAAAGAAAGAAGGAAAGAAAGAAAGAAAGAGAGAGAGAGAGAGAGAAAGAAAGGAAAGAAAGAAGGAGGGAGGGAGGGAGGGAAGGAAGGAAGGAAGGAAGGAAGGAAGGAAGGAAGGAAGGAAGGAAGGAAGAAAATTAAACGAAAATTTCTCTGAAAAGTTTTCAAAGCGAGGAAAGAGTAATTGACAAGATGTGGCTTCTTTGCTCGGTTGTAGCATTTTCCTAATGCTACAGAGTGAGTTCCAGGACAGCCAGGAAATTTCACAATTTCCTAATGCGTTATAGTTTACAAGTCTTGAGTATTGGGTTTATTAGCATAGCCTCAAATTAACCATTACATCTCATCTGCCTGCGTGAATCTTTTGAGAAGATTTGGATGTTCGTGTATTCTTACTGAACACAGCAATTTCATTTTAATTATGCCAACTCAACAGAAGAGAGATTTTTGAGGCAAGGAGCCTGTTTCATCATTTAGAATTAATGTCTCTGTGCCAAGAACTGTTTTAGGATTAGGGAAATGATGGCAAAGCAGACAAAAATTCCTCTGACTTGATTTGACTTTGATCTGGACCAAACCACAAGTATGTGTCAGGGAGTAAGGAGTCATAAAGAGGTATGGAATAAGATTACGGGAGAAATACTGAGTATTTTTAAAAAGCGATACTAGAGAAAAAAGCAACCAAGCACGAATGAGGTGAGGGGAGAAGAGGTGGCAAAAGAACACAAAGTGCCGAGTCCCTAAACCAGGACTGTCAGAACATTTTAGAGGTCCGGGCGGTGGTGGCGCATGCCTTTAATCCCAGCACTTGGGAGGCAGAGGCAGGCGGATTTCTGAGTTCGAGGCCAGCCTGGTCTACAGAGTGAGTTCCAGAACAGCCAGGGCTACACAGAGAAACCCTGTCTCGAAAAAAAAAAAAAAAAAGAAGAACAAGGAAGCCAGTGTGACTGGCAGATAATGAGAAAGCCACTAAAACAAGAGGCAGAAGAGGTCAGAAGCAAAGAGGGCTCATGGAGGGAATTGAAAGCCACTGTACCGACTCTGGGTTTGTTTTTTGTTTCTTTTGAGATAAGGTTTCCCTGTGTAGCCCTGGCTGTCCTGAAACTTGTTCTGTAAAGTCTGGCCTCCAACTCAAGAGAGCTTATCTACCTGCCTTCCAAGTGCAGAGATTAAAAAAGCCTGCCACCATGCCTGCCTGATTTGGGGTTCTCTTTCTTTCTTCTAAGCTTTGATTTTTATTACTTTAAAAAGCTGCATATTTATTTTGCTTTCTGACTCTGTGCTTGTGCCTTCAACACTTTCACAATAATTTTCTGCTCCTCAATAAGGAAAGCTCGATTGATCCTGTCACGGACACACTTAGCACACATGGAATCAACATAGGCCCTGTGACGTGCTTCTTTGTCTTAGACAATCTCATAAGGACTTTAGGTCTTACAATAGGAGCCCCTTGCAGTCTGCCTGAACACCCAACACATGCAGATTTAGGTGTCTTCCTAACCTTGGAATAAAGGTAAATGATCCTGTTGCCAGGGGTTCAAGATACTACTTTAGTTAGAGGCTGTATTTTAGGAAAGCCTACAATGGTGTGTCAAATGCTGGACCATTTTGAGTGCTTCTAAGCGTCCTTGGAAAATTGACTCTGGCTTTCTTTAAAAAATTTACAGCAGTTTTAAAGACTTTAATGATCCTAGAATCAGACAGTTTCTCATTCTATGCAATGAACATTCTGATGAGCTGAACAGAAGTTTGGTGTTCCAAATAGAAAAGAGCTGAGGAAAGAAGGAACAACTAAAAGCAGATTGTTTTCAAGTTATTTTCGTTCCAAAGGTTAAAAGCAGGACTTCCTTATCATGCCAGCTGAAACTAACCTGCTTGGAGATTTGACTGTTAGCTCTTTCCTGGTTTCTTGGGAGATCAAAATAAATACTTGATCACATGGGCTTTTAACATGTGACTCCTTTTTGATTTGGTTGAACAATAATAGCCTTTTGTAAATTCTGTCTTTAAATGAAATAGTAAGCAAACCGTTTTAAACAGGGGAGCATTGCTGGGGAATGTGTGTCTGTCTATATCTGTGTTCATTTACTCTTGGATGCAAGGGGAGGACTTCGCAGGCCTTTCTCTATTTTATTCCTTGTTGTTTTCCCTATGGCCAGCAAGCTCCAGCAATCCTCCTGTGTCTATCCAACACAAGCTGGGGGTCTGGATTTACAGACTGTAGCTGCCACACCTGGCTTGTCTTTTTTGTCTTGGTTTTTGTTGTTGGTTTGGTTTTTAAGAAATAGTCTCATTGTGTAGTCTTGCTTGGCTTGGAAGTGTGTGAACCTGGCTGGCTTCAAAGAGATACACTCACCTCTGCCCTCTGTATGATGGGATTTACTGAATGCTTTGCCATGGCCATTTAAGGTCTTAAACATTCCATTTTTCTGTTAGTGTAATGGTTTCAGAGGTTTCAGAACAAGACTGTGGGGCTTGAGTAGTGTAAACAAAGCACTTTCCATTTTATAAAAAGCAAATGTGATGTTTAGTTAGCCTACATGAATACAAGGACAGCAAGGGAATATACCTGATGTTATGTCTTATCATCTTTGGTCCTGTAAAAAGAGCCAAGGCTCTTTCCTCCCCGGCTTTGTCTTTCCCTCGGAGGTAATGTGGTCATGCCAGGGCATCCCCTTCACGTCCTGACTTTCAAGTGCATTCACTTATCACAGCATATGCAATTCTTTCTAGAAGGCCACCTCATGGGAAGAACATTCTGCACACTGTCCCATCCACAGTTCATAGTATATTCACAGTTTTCTTACACATGCTCTCATACAAGATATCTAAATATCAGACTGCTTGGCCAGGCATGGTATATGCCTTTAATCCCAGTACTCAAAAGGCAGAGGCAGGTGGATCTTCATGAGTTTGAGGCCAGCCTAGTCTACATAGTGAGTTCCAAAACAGCCAAAGCTGTTGTAAACACAGAAAAACCTTGTCTCAAACAAACAGAAAATAAAATAAAATCATACTACTGAAATTCAGGTGTTTTCACTGGCAGCTGTAACTTCAGTTTTTTTGTTTTTGTTTAAATGTAGGAGTGACATGCCAGAAGTGGGCATCAGATCACTTTAAAGATAGATGGTCATGAGCTACCATGTGGTTGCTGGGAATTGAACTCAGGACCTCTGGAAAAGCAGCCAGTGTTCTTAACCACTGAGCTATCTCTCCAGCCCCCAGGAATCTTTTGAAAACCTCTCCAATTTGTCATGGTCATAATTGCATGTAGAGTGTCTAGAAGTGTTTACCATAGGAGAAGCTTGAGGACATGATGACATGCATATAAGCCTATTTAAAAAGAATTAAGTTGTGTGTGTGTGTGTGTGTGTGTGTGTGTGTGAGAGAGAGAGAGAGAGAGAGAGAGAGAGAGAGAGAGAGGCCATTGGAGGCAAGAGGAGGAAACAGATCTCTTGAAGGTTGTGAGTTGCCTGGTGATAGCAACTGAACTCTGGTCTCAAGAAGTGCAGCCAGTACTCTTTTTTTTTTTTTTTTTTTTTTGGTTTGGTTTTTCGAGACAGGGTTTCTCTGTGTAGCCCTGTCTGTCCTGGAACTCACTCTGTAGACCAGGCTAGCCTCGAACTCTCGAACTCAGCAATCCACCTGCCTCTGCCTCCCAAGTGCTGGGATTAAAGGCGTGCGCCACCACTGCCCGCTGCAGCCAGTACTCTTAATGGTTAAGCCATCTCTCCTTTCCTGACACAGCCTTTTTAAAAAAATTATTATTATTCCTTGTGTCTTGCAGTCAAAACCACAAACTTTCCTAATCTATACCCCAAGCCCATTTAAATCTTCTGTCTTTTTTTTTTTTTTTTTTGAAACAGGGTCTCACTTTGTAGCCCTGGCTGAGGTGGAACTGAGCCTCGGTCTCTCAAGGGCTGGAATTAAATCTGTGGAACCATACCTTGCCCGGTATGTTTTTTTTTGAGACAGGGTTTCTCTGTGAGTCCTGGCTATCTTGGACTTCATTTGTAGATCAAGTTGGCCTAGAATTCAGAAATCTGCCTGCCTCTGCCTCCAGAGTGCTGGGGTTAAAGGAAAGCCCCTTAAATCTTAAAACTCATTTCTCTTTGCCTTTTCTCCTACCATTCTTTTCTAAAGATTTGGTTTATTAGCTACATTAAGATTTAAATTGAATATCCTAGCTTTTATTGGTGTCTTTTTGAAACAACGTCTCTTGCAGCCTAGGCTGGCCTTAAACTTCTTAGCCCTGGACAACCT